ATTTTGAAACTGTAAAGAGCGGATGTACAATACTCCACTTTTGTTGAAAATTGTACCCTATGTTACAAGCTACTCACAAAAAGTAGCTAAATAAGGTGTTTTACACCAGAAAACATCTACTAAGAATTAGTATAATAACCATACATATGTGCGATTTAGTACACCCCCAAATAATGGGGTTGAATAACTTTTAAAATATCACCAAATGAATTTTAAAGCGATTGTGTATAATATGGAGTTAATTTATTACACTAGTATGGACAAAAATACAGCAACACCTACACATTACTTTTATGACATCCCATTCTAAATCCATAGGCAAGATTTCCCTTAACAACCCATGAAAACACAGCCCCTACCAAATTTATTAGGACAGGGGTAGCACCTTTGCCCATATAGTGTATTTGGATGGAAATCTATCTCAAAAGAAAGAAGACTGATGGTCTCTCTGATTGGTCTGACACATGATCAACAATGCTTAAAGTCACTGAAAAGGTTTACAAGCAGTGGGAATCATTTAATATGTAAGGCTTACAATGAATGTCAACCAGGCATTCATAGTCATTGAAATTCTAGGTCACTCTCTTCTGATGAATTTAAACTTCTACGTATATTAAGTGTAGTGGTGGAGTTACCTACAGCCTGTCTCAGAACCAACATAATGCCTTATTGTCTTGCTCAGATTTTTATTATTTGGTCATTTGTCCTTGCTTTTTGTGCTTCTACCATAGGTATTTAGGCTATGTAGTTAAAAGGCTTCTGTTTTATTTGCCTTAATTGTGTTTATTGAGTGTTTAATTTATTTTGTGTTACATGCCACTTGTGTCAGGGATACTATAATTTAACAGTGGTGAGAACTTCTCTCAGGCTTACCAATATTGTAAATATGCTATACAAACTGGCATACATTTCTTTTAAGCGTATTGTTGAAACCCAAAATGTAGAGTGGCCATTATAGTGCAGTATACAGTAAATTGAGGGTCAAAGTTAAGAGAGAAGAGAGCAAGAAACTTTCAGTTTATGAGCGTGTGTCTTCAGGAGCATGTGCACCATACACAAATGAGTTCTTACTGCAGTGGCCCAGTTCTAATCAAACCTGTGGCTTATTAGCATGCATCTCCTCTCTCCTGTATTTATTTTCTCTCTTTGGCTGTACCATCATCAGATTTTTATTAGAATTGGGTGTTTGGGCACTTTTACTAAACATATGTCTACATATATTTCTACCGTTTTCTTTTTGTGGTTGTAGGAAACTGTTATGAATTAGCATCCAATGCAGAGTTAAGCTAAATACAAAATCCTGGAGAAAGTGTGAGTGCTGTCTCTGAGAGGTGACCTGGAGCAGGTGAGGGGTGTGAACGTGTGTCTGATTGTCTGCAGTGAGAATCTGTGTCTGATTGTCTGCAGTGTGGGGGAGGGTTTCTTGCGACCAATGATGATCGTTAGGCCTTTGAACTTGAACTACTTAACATTTCACACTTGCACCCAATATTGTGTCTCGCCTAGTCTTGTAAACTTAGTGTCTCTTCAAACCCCAAGTAACCACAGATTATATTTAGTTTAAATTATAAGTTTCTCTTAGAAATTATCAATTTCTTTTTTATTTATTCATGCTGGAGTGTGAGTGTCAATCCATGCTATCTAAGAGGGAACTTGTGTCATTATGTACCAGCCAACAGTGGACATTTTTGTAATGCAAAACAACAAACAAAATGCATTCCGTTACATACAGATTAAAGATACATGTACATTGTAAAATTGATTGAAATCCTGTGATTGTCATAATTGGTCAATATACTGGGAAAATTGGGGGGCTAAATCCTTTCAAAGGGCTGGTGAAAGTTCATAATAAATCTGTTTTTAGCAAATAAAAAAAGAACATTAAGAATCTTCCTGCTGAACATTTACTTCCTAATTGAAATTTATTTATCATGCTTGAGGAATATTTAATGATGTTGGAGTGTGACTGTTGCTCCATAGGATCTAAGAGGGGACATGTGCCCTATGTAGCAACAGTGGATTCCTGTTATTTAATGTGTCATCGGTAATAGTCTTTTTGTCATGGGTAATGTGGGTTACACATTTCTTAGCAAAGGACAGCAGCTTCTCAGGTGGAGGATCAAACTTCAGGCTCTTGAATTTTTAAGTTGGTAAAGTTTTGTGCTTTAATGTTTTGTTTGGAGAAAGGAGGCAAGTTCAGAATAGGGAATGTGTGTGGGTCAAAAAGCGTCAAATACCAGTGAACTAGTTATGAGCAATACTTTTGAATGAAGAACATATTATGAGTTGGAAAAGACTTAATTGAGAGTTATTTGGAAACTATTACTTGTTACATAACAATAGACCTTATTTACAAGTATAACTAAAGATTCTATTTAGGTTACATTATAATTTTCTTTTAAGAATCATACATCCATGTTGCAGTGTGAGTGTCGATTCATGCTATCTAAGAGGGAACTTGTGTCATTATATACCAGCCAACAGTGGACATTTCTGTAATGCAAATCAACAAACAAAATGCACACCTATAAATATAGATTAAAGAAACAAGTACATTGTAAAATTGATTAAAATCATGTCCTAATTGGTCAATATCATATTTGGAAGATTTGGGGGCTAAACCATTTCAAAGGTCTAGTAAAACTTAATAAATATGTTTTTAGCAATTAATAAAAAATTAATACAAAGTATCTTGCTGCTGACCATGTTGTTCCTACTTTTTATTTATTTATCTTAAAGTACTTATGACTCTCCTGACTTGTGGGCAGCCCTTCATTTTGATGCAGTGTCAAGATTGAAAATGGTTAAGCCATCAACTAAAGCTGAGACATCATATTTCATTACAAAACAATAATAACAAATCATGCTTGAGGAATATTTAATGATGTTGGAGTGTGACTGTTGCTCCATACTATCTAAGAGGGGACATGTGTCGTTATGTAGCAACCAACAGTGGATTCCTGTCATTTAATGCCATACAAGTGTGGACCTTTTTTTCTGTAGGCAATGCGGACCAGTAAATATTATGCATTCCTGATGAAAACTCATCAGGACATTAATGCTTCATGAATTAATTTGGGTAGCCCTTTATATTAGGGCTTGTCCATAAAGTACACAGGTACATCTAAGCTTGCAAGTCTGTAACTAAACCAGCATTTTCATTCCACACTTCAACAAGGGATCGACTTTGCCTCTGGATGTCATGTCATCGGTAATAGTCTTTTTCTCATGGGTAATGTGGGTTACACATTTCTTAGCAAAGGACAGCAGCTTCTCAGGTGGAGGATCAAACTTCAGGCTCTTGAAGGTTTAAGTTGGTAAAGTTTTACTTATGACTCCCCAAACTTGTGGGCAGCCCTTCATTATAATACAGTGTCAAGAGTGAAAATGTTTAAGCCATCCATTAAAGCTGAGACTTTATATTTCATTACAAAAACATAACAAATCATGCGGAATAATTATTGATGCTGGATGTTGGAGTGTGACTGTTGCTCCATACTATCTAAGAGGGGACATGTGTCGTTTTATCAACCAACAGTGGACTCATGTCATTAAATGCCATACAAGTGTGGACCTTTTTTCTGTAGGCCTAATGCAAACATGAAAATACCATGCATTCCTGATGAAAACCCATCAGGACATCATTTTATTTGGGTAGCCTTTTATCTTACAGTCTGAAGCTTAATACTAGTTAGGAAATCTACTATTGCTGAGCCTTTAAGTTTTGTTTCAAAAGCATATTATCAAATCATGTGTCAACAGACTGCTTAGTTGAGATTATATTTTCTCATAAGTATTATTGTTTTTGATTCAAAACCAGTCTAAGATTCAGTTATTAAGAGCAAATACAAAGTAACTCTTTAAAATGCATACATCACAGGTCATAAAAATGACCATCCCACACAGAAGAATATGAATTCCCCTAAGAGAAAATTAAAATAAGTGCACTAGTGTAATAAGATATTTTATTATTATTTAAACGGTATTTGAAACCTAGATCAAGTAATTTTTGTTGGTAATACTGTAGTGCTTGATATCAATGCATGCAGCAAAGTTACTTCTGAATTAAAGTTTAAAGTTTATTTATTTTCAGTTAAAGTGATTAAAGTTTGGATCACGTGAAATGTTTACACATTGCTCACATTAAAGTTAAATTATCCATTTTTGAAAGAAACAAAGAAAGTCTTTGAAGGTAAAAACAGTCATTAGGTGAGAATGAGCACAGACAGTTCCACTGCATAACAATGGAGGTCCCCTCTTGGATAGGTAGCTATCGTTTAAGGATCTAAGTCCCCTCTTGGCAATTTCTTTAAAAAGCCAAAAAAAGCAAATTTGCAGTAATATTATGTTAAAAGACAGTAAAAGTAAATTTTGTATTATATTTATTTTACTTCAAAAGGACTGGAAACACAGGTCCACACTTGGCAGTTTACTCCGACGGTGCACTGTTGGATAGGTACGCGTGTATGTGTGTGTGTGTGTGTGTGTGTGTGTGTGTGTGTGTGTGTGTGTGTGTGTGTGTGTGTGTGTGTGTAAAATAGAGAGCTATTTAGAAGATGCTCAGTGTGTGAGCTGTATCTATAGCATTTTCTAACACAAAGGCGCCCCCTGCTGTTAAAATGGTGGTTGACAGCGTGACATGTACATTCAATATTACAGCACTGCACTTACCACTGTTACAATAAAAGCTTGAAACTAAAAATATACTGTATATAAAATTGACTGCATTGTCTAAAATATACCAGACTTAAACATACGACATCTATGACACACACCTGCCCTCACTGCAATAGACCCTGTGGATCCAAGATTGGCCTCTATGGCCATCTGAAGACCCACAAATAATCCATTTAACCAACAGGAGGACAGACTGCAGATGATTTGTACATACCAGGTTTCATGTCATAAATCTGAAGAAGAAAAAAATCTTTAAAATAAATAAAAAAATGCTCTGCATTCACGTGTGGTGATCCAATATTTTGTCCCTGTGTATCCTCCAGTCTTCCAGCCCCGACAGGCCTGACAGCAATGCAACAGGTGAGCTGTTTTATCTGTTGAGAAAAACATGGAACAAATTAGAGGGAGCAGCACTTTAAAGCTAACTGTTAACAATTCATGCTGCTGGTCTATGTGTTTAGATTATTTTCAAGGTTCTTTCTGAGGCAGCTACTGTTCCACAGCCGAAAAATGCAGGGAGACAAGATTGGTTATGAATTGCTACTTTGGCTGTTCTTGTTTTGTCATCTGGGTTCATAACCATACAGTACATAAAAATTATTGTTTTGATTTATTTAATTTTTCAACATGTCAGCAGTCAAGTCCCAGCCCACCATTTCAGAAAGCAGGTGTCCCACTGGCTCAGTGAATAAACCAGAACCTCCGACTGGTTCTCCAGAAAAGACCCCTCGCACCGAGACCAAGCCTGAACCGGTCCCTCGTCTTAGGGCTACGTCCTCCTCGAGTTCCCTTTTGGGACCTGTAAGCAAACCACCTGTGCCACAGGGAGTGAAGCCTGCCCTGGCTGCCCGACCCACCATCCCTCAGAAGCCAAGGACCCCGAGTAGCAGTAGGAGCATAGGTACAGTTGGAGCACTGGATCTGATTGCCACACTGAAGGGATGTTGAAGCGATTCTGTCTTTGTTGGATATTTTGTTTTGTTGCAGTATGATTTTAGATTATACAGTAAGAAATATCATGGTTGCAATGTGCTTGTGAGGTATATTTGCAACTTTTGCTGATAGACATATGAATATAGACAACTTAAAACTCTACCTATGTAATGTATTTTGTCCTAGTGTGAGATGGTATGACACATGAGACACTATTTGTTTTAAGTTGATAATATTTGTTTTCGGACCATTTTACTGACAGATGAGAGCTCAGATTCCCCCAGCAGTGGCGGCTTGTCTCCTAAGGTCACAGCTCTTCCTCCCACACTGAAGAGGAGGCTGTCGGAGAAAGACAAAGAGGGCCAGACCGGTCTGCTGTCAGGAAGCTCTGCCAACAAAACAACTCAGGATGGTGGGTTACAAAATCTTACTATCTCTACTTAGCCCATTCATGCCATGGTGTTAAGGCTCATACATAAATAGATTTTCATCTGCAATGAAACGTCTTACCAACACATTAGCAGTTGCCTTTTTCTATCATATCCCCCTAAACCTGTCCTTTGACCAGAGTAGAGTTCCCTTACAGACTGGTAGATGTTTGATTTCACTGTAAAGATCTAATAGGCTTCCCCCATAGTTTTATATATTTGAATTGTTCCTGTGGAGGCAGACTGTTGTCTGTCTACATGAACAATATTACAGACTGATAGATTCGGGTCACAACTCTCACTCATTATGTAACATACATCCAGGCAGCTCGGCGGCCTTGTGTGTGTCTTTGCTTCCTTCTCTCGGGATGTATTGTTTTTCTTGTCACATGTGGACTCCTTTGTTCTTCCTTTATTCTCTCTACTCTTCTTCACTTCCCTTTTTTTTTTTTTTTGTTTTGCTGTATCTCATCAACGACACCCTCTGGTGCCTGTCAGCGGTATGCATGTCAGATTCATGATCAGAAGGGTAGTTTTTGCTCTCAGTCAAATGAGGATTTATGTTGAAGCCGTTGACTAATTGGTTTGTTGGTTATTTTTATTGCTCCTCAGTAGAAGTTTAATAAAATATGTGTTGATTTTTTTTAGTATACACAGCAAAGCTCAAAGCTAGAGGGGCAGTTTCTGTCTACTTGGTGCAGCCAATAGAGGCCATTAGAGGGATACTTGGACAACATCACCTTTTTTTACTTAGAAGACTATTCTTACTCATAATTTGAGATGTAATGATGCTTTAACACTAAACATGAAGACATTAATGCCTTTAAGTTCTTGTCTGAAAGCACTGTACAAATCCACACAACATGTGCCAGGGTGCAAATCAATGTAACCTTCTTTCAGAGTAAAACAGGAGCCATTAGGTGACACTATACACAGGAGAATGTTACATGCATGTTGACACTTTTAAGTAGCCTGTCTTTCCCATCATGCATTGGGCAGAGAGTAGGAAATACATTCTGAACAGACCACCAGTCCATCACAGGGATAACAAAATTCTCAACTTTCTGCACTTGAAGGTCTGCACTGGTTTTAGAATATCCTGACTGGATATCATTTGTAGTGTAGATGAAAAGTAAACTCCTGGAATATACTAAAACCACAAAGAGGGGATCAGGGACGGTACACAAACAGTGTTAAGCATAAGGCCTAGATTTAAAGCCCGGCTTGATATTATTTAAAGAATTGTGTCCGTTGTTTCTACATAAAATTTGTTTTTCTGCTATAGTTTGAATCACACTGTCCTTTGCACATTCGCTGAGCCTTTTCAGAGCCATTTTTTGTCAGCAGGCTCAACTGTATATGTGTACAAACACTCCTGCATGCTCCCTGCATGTGTCTTGTCTAGATTGCAGAATTAATCAGCCTTGTGGAGCTAGCCTTGGAATCCTTATTCTGGGATTGTTTTCTAAAAACCCAAAGATCAAGGGGACTTGACATACTTTAGATCACTTCCAGTTTTAGCTTATGTATTCCAACTGGTTGTAAGGCTGGTACTTGAAAATTAACCAACTGTGACAGCATACTTAATAACAGCTACATTATCAAAATATCTTTCAGGCATATTTAAAAATAACTATTAATTTCCTGACCCCATTTCCTTTTCTCTCCCTCCTTCCTTCACCTTGCTCTAAGCATTGTCGACGCGTCCTGTCATTTTCATCTTTTCTCTCTTTCTCTCTTGTGTTCAGTGAGGGCGGGCTCTGTGTCAGACTCTGTTCAGCGACCCAGCCCACTCCGTACCAACTCAGAGGATCATGGCACCTGTAAGACCAAGGACCAATCTCCAAACCCAGATAAGGACAAGGCAGCGGGCAAGAAGTCATCAGATTCTGGGGAGGAGCCAGACAAAGACTTTATTTTCATATGAGTGAGAAAAATTTACAGCAAAAACCTGTCAATAAGCCTCACAGGTTTTCCTTTAGAAAAGCAACTAAGGGGATAATCAATATGCTTTCATTCATATTAGAGGTTTTACCTGTTGTAGAAAAGTACAAATCATGTTTGATTTGCAGGAAGACCTGCTGTAGAATCAGGTAATACACAGTTTCAAATTAAAGTAAATTTGTTTGTCAATGATAAAAGTATTGATATTAACACAAAATTTTGTAATTCTCTTTTTCAGTCACATGTCACCTAGTAAACCAAACTGTGCAAAGTCTCCTAAGAACTTCCTTTTCACAAACAGACTTTTTTCCTCTTTTTTTTGTCCACAATCTCTGCGGTCAGGTGAAAATCTAATGACAAGATTAAACTTTTCAGGATTTGAGGAAATGGCTCCAAAGGTGATCCAGTGTATTCAGCCAATGAGTATTGAAACATGAATTTAAGTGGGAGTTTGTAAACCACTAAAAAAGAGAGATACGATGCTTTCAGGAAACAGCAGACCTTTTTTGGTGCAAAAGACCAAGGAGAGACTGTGAGCGTACATTTAATATCTCTTTCTTTAATTAAAAAATCCAATGTCTTGTTGCTATTTGTTGTAGTAGCTTGTTTCCCAGGGACCAAACATATGTAACAATAATACCAGGATCACTGTACTGTAAAACATATAACCAGACCAGGACCTGATAGCATTTTTTTCCTTTAATATATTTGTATAGATTTTTCTATATGCTATTTTCAGCATGTGCAAGTTACTTTTCTCTGAACGTCAGAAGGGACTGAATCCATTATGCAATTCATCATTTTTTTTTTTTTTTCCAGGAAAACACAGGTTCAGCTGGGAATCTTAGCCCACAATAAATCATAAATACACATTAGATGTAGCTCACCTAACGTTAAAAAATAATAATAAATTTGTGGGTCAAAGTGGTGCACTCAGAGGAGACTAACTGGACTCTTCACTAAATGCCTGAAGGATAGCTATAGACTATATCAAACACCCCAGATGGACTTAAGTTTGTCTCTGTGTGAGAGAGTTGGAGTGACCATATGAAGTGCTGCTTTGAGAGGACTGTGGTACGCTTTAACTTCATCGATAACCAATCAACAAGGCTTCAGCACTGTTAACTAACACTCTGCTCTCTGTGTTTGGACACAATGGAGAAAAAAACTTTTATCTTACGATACCTTTTGAACTGCGGAAGTCTTTTTTTTTTTTACGCTGTTTATGGGGACAGGAGTATGTGCCTGTCTTTCAAGTGCAATACAGAGTGACATAAACATTACAGGCTTGTATTTATGTAGTGTGATTTGGTCAAAAAATGTAAACCAAACAGCTTGATTTCTAGCTGGTACCCCTTGGAACAAATGAGACCATTAAGCATTAAACTGAACGGATTGGGGTGCCAGTGTCTGTTACAATCATAAACACTGAATTGTTCTTAAAGACAAACAGATCCTCACTTCTGGTAACGTACTTACATTTTACATTTATTAATATACCCTGGTGTGCTGATGGTCCAATGAAAGCAAAGAACTTAAAAAGAGGAATGTCAGAGATAATCTGCTTGAAGGTAACAGAAATTTACGTGTAATTTGCCCTGCTATTTCAGTATTTTGGCAATAACCTCTTCAGTTCTTTGTGTAAAAAGCATGACACTAAGGGAACTCCAGCCTTCAAACACTCTTTGTCTTCGGTGTCTCTCACAGACTTACCTTCAGGGCTTTCAAATTCAGTTCACTTTCACTTCGTTCTTTGCAAGACAAGACATTTCTTCGAAATTCAACCTAAAAGGAGTTAGCTATTGTATTGCCTTTGTTAAAATGTAATTGAGAATGCAGTGCCTGAAGTGCAAGTGAACTGAGGGTAACTGTATTTTGACCACATGGACCTCTTGACTATTCTGTATGTAGCATTTTCAGGACCTGAATGCTACGCAATGACACAGGTCTCGGGCCAATTCATCTTGTCTTTGTTTTTTAAGAGTGAGAAATGCCCTTTTCACACTGCTACAGAGTCGGTAAACAGATTCTTAAAATTATCTAGTATTCAAAATTAATATTATTTGGATATGGGGGGCAAATTATACCTCTACCTAGAGTTTGCACTTTAAGCATTGGATTGTTTTCTTTGATATAAAACCATGCAGTTTTACTATTATTGCATATACTATATAGATTGGGACAGAACTAGCACCTTTGTACTAGATTAACATTGGAGTTACCATAATTACCGGTTTTTAACTTATAAATGCCATCAACATCCAAGCCGTAATTAAGACTGGGAAATTTAGATTTTTCCCAGAAAGCTCTGACATACAGTGCTATATTGTCAATGCACAGTATTTTTAACCCTGTTCACCTAACAAATGATAGAACCATCATGAGTTGTCTTATGACGTAAGATGGCTGTCCCATTATCCTTTATGACGTGAGCGTAGCATTATACTCCATAATCACCTGTATGTGAGATCTGACTCCTTATTTTACATCAACATTAACCGGAATTACTTTTAGTTTTAACTATCTAGGGTGCTCCAACATTATCTTTAAATCTTAACTAGACCCTGTTTTTTGTGCAGTGTGAAGGGGGCACCACTGTATTTTACTGTACTGTACAAGAGTCAGGACCAAAGGTCTTACTGGTGCACCTTTTCCTATGGTGACTATCGATGTCTTTTTGTAAGATCATAATAAGATTTTACTTCTTTGTCACTAATCATGGCTTGGAAATAACACTATTCATGTTGTGTATATAGTTCATCTGTCTCTGATGTCAACAACTGCTTTAATTTACAGTCCCAAAACTCAAACATCACTTTTTTTTTTAAAAAGGTGTTACAGGACACTGAAAAAGAAAAAAAATACCACTACTTAAATGCAATATGTTTAAAGCAAACACATGTGGGTGTTGACATTTTCCTGACGCAAGGAAATTAAATGGACACCCTCTTTCACTCTTTCTGTGTGGGATTTCAGAAGCACCTGTCTGTGTCTCTGTCAGGTTGTGTGAAATGACTGATGATTTCCTCTTCAATCCTCCTGAAAAATGAGCATCCACCACGTTTCAGTGGAGAAAGTGAAAATAACCCGACTCCTGACTCTGTGTGTGACTGCATGATGTGGCTGTGAGTTGTACTGTATGTATATATGTGCTTTCATACATGTAGGGGTGTGTGTGTGTGCGTGCGTGTGTGTGCGTGCGTGTGTGTGTGCGTGCTATATGCACATGTAATATACACACTGTGATATATTCACATGCCTATGTGAACACAGCAAATCCTACAGTATATTGTTTTGGTACTAAGTACACTACTATACTAGGGGTTTGTAACTTATTTGGAATAAAAACTCAAACAGTGGCCGGTGATGTCTTGATTTTTTTTCTCTCTCACTTGTACATTGTGTTCATAAATGTAGGAATTAATTAATTATTTGTATGTTTTAATTTGTTATTACATGTAATCTATTTAATGTTACTTTCATCATGAAAACAATGTCTGAAAAGAAAGCCTAAATACAAATGACATGTTTGCTCATAATCAGTCTTGAGACATTATTTGTTCCATTTTGTCATGGATCAACATGGTTCATTAAGTCATTCTGCTGGTCTTGGATATTTCTTCATGTGAATATTAATATTGATTAAAATAATTTTACAGTCTTCAAAATCTCTGCACTGTCTCTTTTTTTGTTAATTTGTTGAAGATCTGTTTTGCAGTGTAACAACACAACCACCAGATGGCAAATACAAAGCTACAGTATGCTCTCTCTCTTTTTCTCTCTTTCACAGAGGAGGTGTGGTTTTTACTAAGTCAGAAAGAGCATATGTCAACCAAGCAGACAACTCAGTCGTCATTTTTTGTCTGTATTAAAGTTGTGTGCCTACGCTACCGTTCTAAATTAAAATGGACAGTGCTTTTGAAAACCTGGATGCAGCTGGTTTCCTGGAAATCTGGCAACACTTTGATGCAGATGGTGAGGACAGTTTTGTATATACCTAAATACCTAAAACTGATAATTCATCAGCTGTTATTGAACGTTGGAGAGGAAAAGACCATTCTTATTTGTGGTGACAAATTTCCTGGTTGTGGGAAGTAATTTAATTTCTTATGTTAAATATTCTTGTCAAAAGAAACTATGTTGACTGATTGATTTCCTATGTAATAAGGGGCTTGATACAGAAGGGAAAGTGCACAAGGAGCAGCAAGACTTTCCACAGTTCAAGCTCAAATATAAAAATAATTTGGAGTGATAGTCACGTAGTGACTGTGTTGTTCTCAGTATTTGAATTTAGAGGAAAATTCACTTTACAGTTAAACATTACTATACTATATTTATTTGACAGATAATGGCTACATTGAGGACAAAGAGCTTGACAACTTTTTCCGTCACATGATGAAGAGACTGGGTCCACAGGTAAGTCAACTTTGTATGAATTCATCTATAACCCGTTCAATACAGTGTATGTCAGGGGCAGATGAACAGGCACAAAGCCACAGATTGAAACATCATTTCCATCTGATCTGACAAATTCATATTATACTACGATACTGTGTCAATCTATATGCCACATCAATGACAATATTAGAATAATACAGTATAAACAAGGTACACTGTACACTACACAAAAGATCATGGTAAGTAAGTTGAATACAGTTTCTATATTTCTTATTTTATACATTATTTATGATAGTGAACTAAATTCAGCATTGGGCATATAATGGTACTTCACTTTCTCTTTAGGTCATTATTTCTTGCAAGACACCATTTGTCAAAATTTTGAATCACCTTCTAGGAGATGCATTTGGCTTTGGACACAGACCTTGCAGTTGTCTCTGCTGTGTGGGCAGCTGAACATCTATGCAGTTAGTCTGGCTGGGTGGGGTGACTGCAAGGAGGTTAGATACAACACAATTAAAAAGCTCTGGTCACTGTCAAAAGGAAAAGCCCTTGGCTTGACAGGGAGCCCTCTGTCCAGTTATAATGGAAAACCAAATATGCACACAACTGTTATTTCATTTACTGTGTGTTGTGTGAGAGATGCACTCCCTTGGATACTAATGGGTTTGTAAACAAACAGTCCACCCACCAAACGTCATTTTGTCTCTCTGATGTTTGCTTTACAATATTAATGCCCTCAAGATAAGTACTGTTTTGTATATTTCCCTTGAGCTACAAAGACTCGCAGTTATTATATTCGATTCAGCAGTTGAAGCATTAACCACATGATGCCCTTTCTATGTTTCTGTCCTTTTATTTCCCCTTGTTTAACATATCCAGTAATTATGCAGATTTTTCCTGCATGAACTAACACATTTTCAATTAATATGCAACTTAATCAAATTGCATATGACACACTAAGTTTAATACATTAGTAAAACCTAGATGATACATGAGTTTGTTATGCAGTGTAGATGGTGTCTACAGTGTAAAAACTGAAGATTGCTGGCGCCAAACACGAGATATCTGATAGTCTTTAGCCTGTGTGCACTGCTCTGCATGAAACAATGACTCAGACTAAAGGACCATAGATCAACAGGTTTCTATAGTTACAGTATGTGATTTGAGGGTTTGCAAAGAGACACTGCTAAAATTTTAGCTGCTAAAATATTTTGAAACAACTTCGACGGCTGCAACCAGTCTCGCTTTCAGTTGCTTCATGCTGTTGTCTGAGCTTTGGTTGAGTGAGAAGTTGATCTGTACAGGAAAAGAAAATGTGATTCCTAACTCAGATAAGCATGCGTCATCCTTCTTGCTCTGTGCATTAGAAAGACTGTGTGGGCCAAGAACAGGTAGGGTGAACTACATTAATGCTTTGCAATTGGTTAGCTTGGGGTTGAGAAAACAGACCCTGAGAGAAGAAAATTCAAGATCAAAGTAGTATCCATGGTGACATTGCTTAAAATAACTGTGACTCAGCCAGTGAAGTTTTTGTCCTTAAATATCATTATTGAAATCAAGATTTACTCTGAGGTACTGTGCAAATGTTTTAGGCAGGCATGGGATGTTAAGAGATTAATTAACAAAGTGCAAAGTGAATGAACTTTCAAATCAATAAATGGGTTAACCAGCCTTTGACTTCAAAACAGCATCCATTCTTCTAGGTGCACTTGCACAAAGTCAGGGATTTTGTAGTCATACCATCACGTGTATGATTAAACAAATATACCAAACAGGTGCTAATGATCTCATATTCAATATGTAGGTTGAAACACAATCATTCACTGGAACAGAAACAGCTGTGTAGGAGGAATACAACAGGGCGAAGAAAAGCCAAACTCAGCTAACAAGGTGAGGATGCTGAAGACAGTTTACTGTCAAAAGTAAACTTTCTTCCAAGACTGAGCACATCAGCAAGACACAAGGTCTCTCCCAGGCAGAATTTTCAAAGCTTTTCAAAGGGTTTCTGATGTCCGATGTGTTGTCTAAGCTCTTTAGAACAAACACAAAGACATGGTCAATGTTGAGGACCGCAGATGCATACAATACCTGATATATACCAATATTACAGGAAAACATCTGATTGGCCCCAAATTTATTCTGCAGCATGACAACAAAACTAAAAATAAAGCGAAACTTGGTGAGAAGTAACTTCAGCATAAAGAAGAACAAGGAGTCCTGGAAGTGATGGTATGGTCCCACAGAGCTCTGATCTCAACATCATCGAGTCTGGGATTACATGTTGAGAGAGAAGTAACTGAGGCTGCCTCAATCCACAGAAGGACTGGGGAGTTCTCCAAAATGTTTGGGCCAACCTACCTACCAAATTCCTTCAAAAACCATGTGCAAGTACACCTAAAAAAATTGATGTTGTTGTTTTAAAGGCAAAGTGGTCACACCAAATATTGATTTGATTTAGATTTTTCTTCTGATCACTCACTTTACATTTTGTTAATTGATCAATTTAATCCATCAACATGTATGTTTTTGAAAACATTTTTCCCACACCTGCTTGAACTTTTTACACAGCACTGTACCTGTATCTTGATTAAAAAAGGAATTGGTGGTTACAATTTACTTTACATGCCATTTGATTTTGTCCCATCATATACTGTATCATATTTGTGTGCATTTCCACAGTGGCTTTGGGGCAAGAAAATCAATGTTGCATTTTAATCTGTGTCTCCGCAGGAGAAAGTGACTGAAGAGAGAGTCCAGAGACTGAAACAAAGGTTTATGTCCGCCTATGATGTCACTGATGACGGGAAACTACAGATTCAGGAGGTGCTACCCCATTTCTGTCTATAATCGGTTCCTCATTCACTTGACCAATATTTTTGCCATACTAAAGATAGGGTACTCTCATATTTAAAGGTGAAGCACTGATATTTGTAGCAAACATGACACAAAATGTTAGCTCTTGTGTGCTTCCACTTGTATGTTGTGTCTGAGTTTCATGCCTTTTAAAGATGATGAGATAAAACACTTTACCTACCTGTCCAAGAATAACTAAATTCACCTCAATACACACTCAATACACTTATAAACCGTTGCACACTAGCTTCCTCTTTATTCTGGATCCTCTTCCTCTTCTCTGTCCCCTCTCTCTCTCAGACCCATCTATTCCACTGCCCCTCCCTCTTTGATTTATCCCATGTATCCATAACAATGACATAGCTTGTACCATATTCAAGAAGAATGAAAACAAATTTCTGGAACTTCTGAGGGGCATGTTAAGCCATCTTGTAGTGAAGAGACAACAAGAGGAGAGCGGCACTCAAACCATTTACATAAATTAAATACCTGAAGAATGTACTGTGTATATATATATATGTAAAAATCGAATCTTCTAAATTGGAAAGAACCTAAAGATCCTTTTGGCCTGTCAAGTATGACTCTCAAAAATCCTGAACAAATTTCTTAAAATTAATTAAGGTTGGTTCTCAAATGAGTTTTCGATTGAGTCAATCCATTTAATTAAATGAACCTTGACTGACATTAACAGGCTGCGGCTGTTTCCCAGCAATGAAAAGCCATATTTTGATGACATTGCTTTCTCTGTCTCCACTCTGTGTAATTGATGCAGCTCTTGGCACAGCAGCAGTGTTTCACCAGTGCAATGAAGTGCATTTTCTTTTGTTCAGAAAAATAAACTTTTAGCCATTAATTAGGCCAGTCCCTTAATGCATTGCCCCCCACAGACCCCAAATGCTATGTTTGCCAAAAGTGGCCTGTGGAAGACCGTGATTAAGTGTGGCTGAAGTAGGAACAGCCTACAGTACAGTAGATTCTTTTGAAGCTAAACGCCCAAATTGTATATATAATATGTATATATAAAATGTAGCTGATAGCACAAACACTGTCATTCTGTATGACTTGAAGTTAGGCTCATGTAGTGACCAGTCATTTGAAATGCTATTTCCCTGTATACTATTGCCTCTTCTCTACAAATGGCATTAGAAAGGAAGTTAGCAAGGCTATCACATAGCCACAGTATCCTGTGAGATAGCGGTTTGAAGTGCTCTTACTCCTCTAGTTCAGTATCATATGACTGAACTGTTAGATGTATCTATTTAACTCTATCATCAGTACCTACTCACTATTGCACTATAACTGTAGGATAAGCAACTGAGCATCCTATAATGCATTAATTGTACTTGAAGCATGATTAATAGTAATGATCTGCACTGGGAAACCTCTCCTGATGCTTTTTACAACACAGCAGTGC